TTTATGTACGAGTTTTCGACCTAGCTGATAAATAAGATCGTGACTGAATAGCGCCATATGACTCGAGCAGAATGGAGACTACCTGTGTGTCTTGACGATGCAGAACAGCAAGCTAAAGTGAACGCAAAATTGAAACAGTGGTTCAAACAAATGGCCAACTTGTCATAGGCGTTAGTAGTTAAAGACTTATGCTTTAATTTCAGACTAAGTTCTGCATTTATGTTCTTCCTTTTAAGGACATCAGACCATAATAAGTTTCATTGTTGAAATATCAGTTGTTCAGCTGATAAAGAGATTGAAGTTGAGGTCTTGTTTTTGTGGAGAAAAATCATCCGTCCCCTAGTTACCGAATCGCCGGATGCCCTCGACGCAAAAGCGCAGCGATTGAATGTTAAAACCTTTCAATTGCGTAGGTTAATTCAGTTTTTGGGTGGAGCAAGACGAGCGCATACTGGTCGGAGTTGATTTTGTTCGGTGGGGAAATTAACGAGCCTTGATAGGTGTGCTGTTAGTCTGACACCTATTGTGGGAAACGCTGGCGCGAAGCGCTGCGATATGCAAAATTCCACTTTTGTTTCAGCCTATTGTGCGTTTTGAATGGCTGTCTGTCTTCTTTTGAGATTGGCTAATGCCTGCGACTTTCGAACTCGTGGAGTCCTACTAATGTAATTCCAATTATTGTGTTGATAAGCGGTTCGCCGGTTCCACCATCTTGGGTGGAACAAAATCATTAGTGCGTTTAAAATATGAAAAGGGAAAATTGCACCAAACAGTACCTATTGATGTTGAAAAGGTGATAATGCTTTTGGTACTTTGAAATAGGTGCAGATTTTCAATGCTCTGTGTTTTGATTCAGGCCACTGTTGGAAGTATTCTCTTCATTTCGGGCTGTGCTTGAGCCAAGCAAGGGCGCTGAATTTTGTGACAAGCTAATCTCAGCGTGCATCTTTCTTCGCTTTGTTTGTCCCGCCATCCTGACCCCCTCCTTATTCGGCCTTGCCAGCACCTTTCCCGGTGAGTCGAGCTGTCAGCGCAACCTCACGCTTGTCGCCAAGTCACTGCAGTCGCTCGCAAACTTCTCAACCTTCGGCGATAAGGTATGGTGGAGATTATGATAAGTCAGCGCAAAACCACCAACATTGTGTCTCAAATGACCTTTCAAATGGACATTTTGCTAAAATCATCTGCGATCATTGACATACCTGCCGAGACTTTCACACAACTAAAACTTGAGTTGAAGGGATTAGTAGACGTTGAACCGACTCAATGTCCTTGTCAAAGTTAATAATTTTCAGTGAATTCTTCTAAATGCTTAAGGCTGAAGAGTCCTTTTAATTTCCTCTGTTTCGTTTCGACAGGGTCATAAATTTTTATTCTTACCTCGTCTATCCCGGTTGCTACTATTCGTCTAGGGCTGCTAGTCAGCATCTTCCCAGCATTCCCTGATCCTTATTAGCACTTTATATGGCACTTTTTTGGTTGGTATGGAATAAAAATGGAGGCATTTGTCGAATAAGTTCTATAACAAATATGAGACGTCCAAATGTTCTCAATCGCGAGTTACAACAATTCATTCACATATTTTCAGTTGTATTTCCTTAGCATCAGTTTAACATACTTTTCTCAAAACTACCTTATTTTCTGAATGTGTTTGTGCCTAACAATTTAGGAATTTGTCACTCCACTATTACAGTGGTTTACCGTCAGTATTCAGAGCCCCACACTGATTTCCTTCAAACAGGTACAGAAAGTAGATGTTGTAATCGGAATATGTTGGAGCCAATGGTGTTGGAAAACACGCCTGATGCCTAACTCATGGCAGCATAGCTGCAAGAGCGATATCATATCCTCCCTTTGCTTAAGGGCTCTACAAACTCAGTTGGAGTGAAGCTAACTGGTAAAACAACCATTTGCTACAATTAAATCTCAGGTTGGAATTTTCACGAAATTTGTGATCACGTGCTATTGCTATTTTATTGATAAAACTTTTTTTATTAAACGCTGGAGCAACGGTTGCGCAATTAGTGTGCCTCTACTTCTTTTGATAGGAGTCCTTCATGCGTTTTATGAATGCCTATGTGGAGGCACAAATACCGGTGATGCGAAGTTTTTTGCGCGACATTTCCTCTCTGCCTGGAGTCCTTGATCCAAAAAAACGAGTTTCCTCACCAGCAGCCGGCAATATTGACTGTGGATACGAGCTGGCTTGTCTGCAGAACATCTGCCTCGAGGTTTTCAACGCTTCCACTGGTGACCAGAAATCATCCAACACTCCTACGGTGAGATTTATCTGCATTTTGCATTTTAACAGTGGCGAAATGAATCCACCTGACAATTTTCCTGAATCTTGCTCTACTATTTTCATACAGATAGTTATCTACACTCTGAGATGTATTTCCAGAGGGAATTTACTGATTCTTCTGAGACGTGACCTTCAAATTCCCAACTTTTTCCTAAAATAAATACTTTCATAGCGCCTGACAGCACCGAACGAGGGAGAGTTAAAATAAGGTCCTTCAATCATTGCTAGTTGCATGTTTGGACAAAGCCAAAAATCATGTAAGTAGGTCATTAAGAGGTTAATTAAATCATTTAGTTGAACTATTCGTTGGAAGTCAGTCCCTCTTGATGTACATACTGTTCTTTGGCACTCTGAGACTTCTTTGCAAATAAAAGACGGCCTAAGGCTAAAAAGGGGTACTCCTTAGCACTTGACAGAGAGTAGAGCTTGAGATTACTGGCATGTCCTGGAGGTCGGTCCCCCTGGTTTTATGATAGGCAAGACTTGAAATGGTAAGTGGTTCTTTACCAAAATCACGAACCAAGCAAACAGTCAGCGTATGGCACAGTTCCATCGACGCCACTCTCGGTTGGAGCTTGCTACAGTTCCTGGCCTTTAGGTTTGGCGTCTATTACCCTTCATAGCGAAGTTTTTATTTCAGATCTGCTTGATCATGTCTGTCTGGATTGCATCTATCTATCAAAGAAGTTTCCACAACTCATATAATTAATATCATTATGTAAAAACGGTAAAAAGTTCTTTATAAACCTCATTTAGAATAGTTCACGGCCATCGTCGATTCGCTTATAAATAACTTTCGTACAGTTTATGAAACAGGGCACTTGTCATGAATTTGCGCATTTTTCAGTCTTTCTGTTAGAGATCGTCACCTCCCACCGGCAGGATCTGCACCCCTTTCACCTCGATAAGGTCTGTCACTTAGTCGTAGGAATAAGGCCTTATGCCATTTGTGATGGAATTTGCTTCCCGCGCCAATCAGTGTGGCTCCTCAAGACTCCTCTAGAGGCGAAAGATTATGTGATTTCATTTCTGCAAAAACATTTGGTCTTCACATATGCCCTCTTAAAACTGCAGAAAAATTTTATGAAGGGCACCCTCTAGGAATGAAACCCACGACAGCATCTGTTGTTCACGATGAATTGTCCTATTAGCACAAACACCTATTCAGTGTTCTATGCTTTGTACTCACTCTTCCATGATCGGCAAATACCAACTTTAATTTTAGTGTACTTCTCATACAGTCTTTGTAGTCGTGATCCTAGGCCAATCCTGCAGTAGGGAGACATGTGACGAGCACAACCCATGTAATTTACAATGAAGTTCTTCGCAGTGTATCATGCAAAAGTCTGTGGACCTATTTTCGGATTCTGGTGCGCTATATGCTACCTTAACATTGTAGATTTTTACAACTGGTAGTGGAAATTCACCAGTGTCTTCATTGCCTCCATCATTGACCTGCCTCCCTGGAATTGTGTCTCACCTTGAGAACTTAAAGAATGGAACGTCTGTCGAAACTGATCTCACCGACATTCGTACTACTTCTGACTCGGCATATGCGTCTGTTGATTCAAACAAACGCTTCCCACCTCCATCTACATCATATACAACAACCGTAAACGCAAGAAATGAGTCACAAAATCTTCCATCGTTTCACCTATCTATGGAAGAGTCCACAAGTGACCTTTCAGCAAACGCAGGAGTTCAGCATCTTCTTCCTGACACCAACACCTCGAGCTCATCTATCCAGAAACCAAGACCAGTGCGACCTACCACGGTTAGGATACCGACAAATTCGCCTAGTAATCAACAACCCTCACAGCACCAGTCGTCATGCGCTAATGTTTTGATGACTTCATCAAAAAGAGTTACTTCCCGTGAAGAAGAGGAGGATGATCGAGTCACTCTCAAGGAGCTCCTCAAATCGGCTTCTTTCATGAGCAATTCTGGAACATTCTGCGGTGGCAATGGAACAAAGGCCACTTCGCGTGAAAATGACGTCGACTACGATGACCCTTACAATGACGATGCCTGCGATTCGGTAGGTGACCGTTCATGTGGCTTATGATCTACCAAACTGAACACTTTTTAGACATGTGTGTTACCTGCTACAAATGTAGCATCCATGCTTCTTATTTCTCCACTTACTATCACATAATAATGTGGTCCTCTAAGACAGAAGATTGTTTTTGAATGCAAAATGCCAATTGTCTGTAAGTGAACATAGACTGCCCATGATTGATTATGATTACCATCCCACTACAACCGCCCAATGGCTAGAAATAACGGGTTAACTAAACTATTGGTTAGGCATGCTTTCCTTCTTGCATTTGAATTGTGTAATCTGCATTTTATCTTTAATGCAATAGAACAGTGAACTATTAATTAGCATAAATGAAATTTGTTAGGGTTTTTTAGTTATCGTAGGTTCTTTATTCAGCAGACGCAGGCCTCCTGTAGAAGAACAATTTATGATGCGCCCTACGAGGAAAATGAAAGAAGCGGAGGCTGTCAGACTTTGAGCAGTGGTGCGAGTCCGGTACACACCCTCCAATTTCCCTCTCTCTCAAGTGCTTTCTCTCTCTACCGGCGACCTCTAGCAATGACTTCTACCTTGGGTGACGTTCCCCCGATGGAGTGTACAGACAGCCCTGTCACCGTGCCCTTCACCATCCCCACCTCGTTCGCTTCCTGCAATGTCTCCTCTACGACTACCGCTACGACGGCTGCTGATCTGCATACCTCACCTCGTAGACGGAGCCACTGCAATAATGCTGCCCTCGCTAGGGCCCCCTTGAAGGCGTCTCCCACATGTGCTGCGAATTCTCCGACCAATGACATCCTTTTTCTTGAACCCCGACCCAACCTCATAATCACGCATGTATGTACATTCCTTTGTCGCACCTACTTAGCCCCAATGAGGGTGTGCTGACTTGGGGGATCAGTGAGTAATTCAAACAGTCTGGACACCTCAAACCCCATAATTGAGGCAAGGTATCAAGGCTTTGCATTCTTCACCCTACTTTTGTCTTCATTACACTGATTGGGGTAGCACTTTTATTGGGACTGCGCCTTTGAACGAATGTTTCATCTTACCTCCAAACTTCAGTAGCAAAATTTGTAAATGAAACAGAGAGGTAGCTATTTGTGCACTTGGGAAAACATTTTTTTGGCTGTTTAAAATTGCATCAACTATCTGAAACGAAGAAGAGAGGGCTACAGTTCGTTTTGACTTATCCTGATGGCTTCAAAGTCGGGCTGTGGTAATGGGGTTCGTTGAATAACGGACCTGGGGTTGAAAAATCAACTAATAATGTCGAAGTCCTTCACATCTCGTCACATCTACGATAAGCATGGTAAAATTTTGTGTTGAATCTGGGTTGTGTAATTTCATAGTCAACATAGGCTCTGTACTTCTCCACAAGCTGAAAAAAACTACATCATCAACAAAACTGCCTTTGAGCTGAATGCAATCGCACTTCCCATGCGTTTATCATTTGCTTTGAAATCATTTTATGTGGTTGCTGTAAGGTCGTTTAAGTGGTAGATAGTCTACTCGACACTTTGAAAAGTCAGTTTTTGAAATCATCGTTTGTCACAACGAAACGAAACTTACTTCTTTCCTTTTTTTGTCTTGTTACAAATATAAGAAGGTTACTGGTTAACCATAAAAAAGTATTCTAATAAGGACTAGAAGAACAATTTTCATCAGCCACTAATTTTCTCTTTTTTAGTTGAAATCTCATCTTTCGAGGTCCTCTACAACTTCATCTTCTGGTCGTTCTTCCATAAAAAGTAAACAGGAATTGACCTCACAACAACACCACTACCCCTTTCGCCAAGTTGTCAATGCCAATCTAGCAAACTACGCTTCTGGTTTCACCGCTGCCGCCGCCGTGGCAAACATGTCACCCGGGCATAAAATGTCTTCCTCGGTGGACAACACTCTCTTCCAGATGGACTGTCATTTGGGCAATGAGTCAGTCACCATGCCACTAACAGCGCTCGAAGACCTAGGTACAATGGAGCCTGGCGGTTGCTGCACTCCAGAGGTTACGTGTGGCGTGGATGGGAGAAATGTGTTGTCGATGAGGAGGACAAATGGTTTTACTGGAAGTCGAAGCCATCCTCCACCCTCGCAGCCCGTTTCGGCTGAAAACGAGCAACTGTTAACATCAACTTTGGCAGAATTAGGAGATGCAGTTGCTTGGTAAGCTTCCATACCTGAGAAGAACCTCTAACCACTAGGGCGTTCTCTGGATCACCATCTCCTTTTATGCATCTTCTTTTCTTCGAAAGGACCATCACTTGTATACTTATACATTTAGTTGGGATCGCTGACATCCATGTACCATGTTTTGTAGGTCATTTTTTGCCCATGTTTGCTGAAATGGTAAACACATTTACTGTTTTTTTGCCTTAAACTCAACTATGACCGTGATCACTTCGATGCACGTCAACGTTACCGGTTGAGATCCTAAGATTTCAGCTGCGTAAACCTGTACAGCGACTTCATCTGCACATATCTATTACCAAATTTTCGATCTCTATCCTGCCTGACATCTCATCACAATCATGTAGTTGAGAAAAACTGGGAATCCTCTGATTGCTAAGTAATCAACTGCCTTTTCACAATATCAACTATTGAATCTGCGAATTCAGTTTATTTATGCCTGTCATTATTTGATTTACCATTGAATAGTTTGAGCCAGAACGCATCATGGCTTTTAGAGACAATTCTTTCAGATAGAGTGATTTCATTTCTGAAACTTGTGTGCTCAAGCTGCTACCCATTCACGTCTTTTGCCACCTATTCGCGCTATTAATCGTAGAGAGCACTCACCATTCACCACTTTCATTCACTTTGGAAGATATGCTCGAATAAAGATTCGCCGAAACAACTTAACGGACTTTTGGCCAATATCTTAGATTACGTTTTAACTTCTACGTTTTCTTATATGAATTGCATCTGCCACTCCTTTTACTAGCTATAAGAACGCATTACTTGGTAATTGACTATGAGTCGATTTGCGGTATTATCTCCACGTTGTACTTTGATATAGCCATAGTGTCCAAAACAGTCTTTCACTTATGCTTAGGTTGGAGAGAGAACGCATCGATTTGCTGAACATGCAAGGACGTCGACAATCTAACAGCCGTCCCCAATCTAGACCAGGGCATGGCACTAATGCTGGACCATTGTCGCTGCCCAGAAAAGGTCTTGCCCTAAACATTCAAACCTCTGTCGCGTTCGGAACTAGCCCCGCTTCTTCAACAATTACACATCAGCGCCCCCATCCCAACACCTCAACGCCCTCTCTGTATTGGCAGAACTATCCACCTTCGCCCACAGATGACGTATCCACACTGACCAAATCCACCAACAGTCTTACCGAACAAACTCCTATTCAACGCAGAAATCAACGGTCGGCCGTCTCAAAAACTATCACTTTGACCCGATCGGGCTCCTCTTCTGTGAGCCCTTCACGAAGAAGTCGGGAAAGTAGTGACTCCTCGGACAACGCTAGTGGCTTCCAAGCTCGTCGTCGGCGTACTACAACGCTGGTTCTGGCCAATAAGGCAGCACCAATACCAATCGGTGTCAATGGTGCCATTCAGTCGAGTCCACAGACGCCAATTGGAGTGCGAAGAATGCCGACTAAAGGGAACAATTCGGAGGAATTGAACCCTATTATTTTACACCCATATCGCCCTCGACCGCATCCCGTTAGTTTCGTCTCCACATCAAACTGCAACCTTTTAAGGTCAAACAATCCTCCTTCCACTTCCACAACAGCTGCTACCATTACTGTAGCCGGTGGCGATGTTGCGCACCCACATCAACGAGGCGCAGGTGGACTTTTGGTTCTCTCAAGCTCGCCTCTGACATCGTGATGTTAAAGCAGTTAGCTGCTTTGTAAATTAACTACTTATTTTCTGCTGACTTCTAGAGTTCTAATGACACATGGATTATGCATGTTTGTGTTTTGGTGCCTGCCTTGGGCAGAATTGTACAAAGATATATTAAACGTAGATACTTTCCACGCCGTTCTAGTTACTGAAACGGGAATCCTGGAATTCAAATGATCGGACCACTTGTACATCATAATATGATGCATTCTGTCACTTTTTTGATCGGCAAAATTACCGACATTCATGTAACCCGAACTAATCGGGATCCGCTGGCACATTCACATTAAGTTCATACATTAGGGAAGTACGAGGAGCATCTTGGATGCCCGATAGTAATGAGAAGTGTGTGGAATTTATCATCCATTCATCAAGGAGGTTTTTATTTCGAATGATTAAAACGTTGCATATTTGGGCTCACATGATGTGGTTTTCTGTGGAGTCGATAATAGAGAAAGGTAAGGTGTACTCCACTATTTAGTGGAGCTACGGATTTAAAAAAAGGATAGACAAACGGGATGGCCCAAGAATATTAACGTTTGGTGGGTTTTGTGTAAAAAAGTGTGGGTTGCTTGTTATTTGTCTAGCTCCTTGTTTACCACTGTTGGCTTTGAATTTTACGAAGACGTAATTTTACCCTCAAGCTTACACTAAGTCACTCATGTTGGAAGAGATTAATGCCACTACTATACGTTGTTCATATGACCACTTGGCGTCTAGCGGTCACTTTAAGATTCGTCTGGCCCTTATGCACGTGAACTTCAGATCTAGTCCCTTAGTTCACGCTGAAATACATGTATTCGGGTCCACTTACTGCCTTTATACCCTGCGGGAAGTATCAGGAAAGGTTTGAGCATCTACACTTATGGTTGCCTTTATTAGGAGCAGAAGAAACCAATAACTCCATTGTTGTGCTACTCCTAGCATAAAACGTTCGAACCCCACATGATTAGTGGAAATCAATGAAATGGGCATACCATGAAGAATCCGCTCAAAAGAGGGCAGGAAATCGTATTAATTTAATGCTCTTCAAGGCAGAACGTTCGTTTAGGCAGAGACTTGGGTAACTACAAGCGGGACCAAGGGACTCGAACAATAGCACAACCGACGAATGGTACCTGCGCCGAATTAACCTACTGCGATCCAAGACGAGAATCGTGAATCCATTCGCACATATCTCTACCTTAGTGAAGGAGCCAGTTAAGAGGTTCATCAGTGAATCTGCGCATGGTGGTACATCCCTTGGAACACGACAACAGTCATGATCGCTAAATGCATGCATTCAACTTTCATTAAGCATCAGCAACTTGGTATTAAGTTGTCAACAAAGAGAATGAAGACGTAGGAAACGGTTCAACAAAAGACATGTAATCGATTACAGGGTCTCCATACCCTTTTTATATGTTTTGATGGTAAATTTTGTGGGAAATGCCTACCTAACCTCATGTCCTGGAACCACGAACTTCAAGAGAGGGTTAGTCGCAGGAGATCTATTGAAAACAAGAAGAACGGGGATAGGAGTACAGGTGAGTAGAATAGCGGATATCACCCGGAGAGGAGTTCCTCACAAGCCTTACGGGCCAGATTCGCCTGTCTCCCATATAGGTAAACTTAAATACTAGTATATATTACGAAAGTTAAACGATCGGTTTAGGTGCATCTTTGCAATAAATATGTGACAAGTGCACTTCTTTACATCAGCATTTCTTAAATTTTCCCCAAAATAAGAAGCACAACACTGTAGAGGATATTTACAGTGATTTTAACTCAGAGCACTTTACAATTTGAGTTTAAGTTTTCTCTAATTGGGGCGGTAAAGCAAATTCAAGGCTGATTCAATAGAGGCCTTTGAGCTGCAATTGGTCACTTTGTTTAGCCTCATAGCCTGGTCTGCTAAGTCACGTAGTTCCAAGTGTGAGGATGGTGTTCGAGACTTTAGTTGCTGATCTACTAAATAGATACTTGGGCAACTATTTGGAGACTCTTAATGCCTCCCAGCTGCGTTTGGGTTTACTCTCTGGTAGACCTTTGATGTAAATAACCATAATACACTTACTTAGGTAATGCTTCCTTGGAGAATGTTGATGTGCGAGCTACTGCGTTCGATGATTTTGAAATACCTGTTCGAATTGTTCACGGTCACATTCGTGAGTAGTTTTGTTCAATTACCTTTGTGTTAGGTCACTTTGCCCTAAAAATTCCATTTAAAAATCTTTACACTGAGCCTGTAGTAGCCGAGTTGGATGGGCTATACATCCTTTGTTTGCCGCGAACTGGTTTGAAGCGTTTATCATGCGCAATTTTAAGGCGTTACTTATAATGAAGCGAAAGAAAAACAATACCGACGGGAAGCAAAACGGAGAACATTAGAAGCAATTGAGGAATTGAAACAAGAACATCAACCAGGTTACTGTTTTGTTGAGTTAGCTAAATGTGGTTAGAAAAGGACGAAAGTTCTGATTCATTTTTCGAAAAATTGGCTGCTCAGATTATTAAAAATGTTCAAGTCAAAATTGAGAACATTCATGTTCGGTATGAAGACCAAACAACCATTCCTGGCGTCCGATTTTCTGCCGGATTAACTTTAAGGAGATTGGCTTTTCAAGTACACAAGAATCGGATAACTTACGGAGTTTTTTAGACCTGTGATAGTTCTGGAGAATCCGTCGTATTGAGCAGTGATTTTTCGAAGGAGTTTTTTAAAGTGAGGCCATCTTATTACGGTTTAATTGTTAGCTTGCTGAACTGGATTCACTTGCAGTTTATTGGAATCACGATACAAAACTATATTCAGGTCTCTCTGCAGGGCTTCTTAGGGTAAGGCACTTAAGATTCATCGATTCTTAGAACATGATGAGTTCCTCAATTGCGAGCTCTGAGGGAACTGCTACGGATATCGACTACAGTACGTTTTTTTCTTAAAAGATTTATAGCAACCTGAACTTAGAGCAATAATTAATTGCCCTTATGGTAAATTTAGTTCTCCGGCCTATTTCGTTCAATGCGCTTCTTCATGTCCACATGCAACCGGAAAGGGTTCAGTTCACAGTTCCCCAGGTCAGCGTCGACATAAAGTTTGAAGAAATTGAGGTGGAATTTCATCATCATCAATACGTTGGATTGGTCCTTCTCCTTGATTCAGTCGATCGCTTAATGCTGCAGAACAAATTCTGGAAGTATAAAGCTCTAATTGAATCTAAGAATTTCCCTCGAGCAAGGTATTTCTCTTGATGCAAAACAGATTCTATGTTTGTGCATTATTTCAAGCGTTTTTTTATTTTTCTCACCATTTTTGTAGCACTTCGAGGTATGTTCGGTCCTTAACCATAGTCTTTTAAATCGTCGGCGATTTATTCACCGCAGTTGCATTGACATTTATAGATGGCTGTTCGCATACACTGCTGTGTTGGAAGAAATTGTTCGTCGGCGCTTTAACATGTGGTCCTGGAACCACATCCAAGAACATCGTCGAATGGTGCGTGAATACACAGATCTATGGACAAAGAAGCTTCTAAAAGAAAATTTGACTTCGGAGCAGGAGGCGAAAATCGAGGTAGGTGATTTTAAGGTTTCATACGTGATTTGAGGCGCCGAATTTCGAACCTTCGTTTCGCATATTCTAATTAGTTGCTGATCTAATTAGTGATTATAATTGTCTTTGACGTGGAAATCGAATCGTGAGACCGCTAAGGCGTCTAGACGCAGTTGGTGTTTGCATTATTTTAGTTTAATCCTTTGTGTTTTAAATACTAGGCTTGAAGATTAAGTTTATTTTTTAATTTTATTATATCTTTAAAGGAAATCTTGATCCCCCAATCTACTTACTTTTCGATTCTAAAGGGATTGCGAGTTCTCGCTTCACATTCTCTTTCCTAAGAATGCATGCGTTTTTTGCTCGAATTTTCAGTACTTTGAAGATGAATTGGATGTCATGAATCTTACATTGGCTCGCCAACACGCAGAAGTTCAGGTAACAGGTGCCATTTTTTGTTACAGTTTGTCTTAGAAAGATCCTATTGATTGAATGACGATTTTCCATGTCTTACGATTTTGAGTCGATCAATCGGGCTTAATAGTCATTTCCTTTGTGTAGATTCGAAAGCGCAAGAAGGTATAGTTGTATAGTTGTTGTCTGTCTACTGGTTTGACTGTACTGCGATGCCTCTTGGATGTAATATATATATATAATTCCTAGTCCTACGCAAAAACCTAGGATCTATAGGTTACCACAGAGCCATGGCTTGTTTTAAGCAATTTTAAAACCTTGAGTAGAAATAGAAATTTCTACAATGCTCTGCAAATTTACCGTGTTCTGAATAGCCTATTCTATGAAAATCATGCAATCATTCATACCTTAAAACTCGGTAGTGAGTTTTGCTTTTTGAAATGGAGTCAAATCAAGGTAACTTCTTACCCCTCCTTATATTTCTAGAAACACCAATCGTTGCTCCCTCTTTATATTAGGAGATAGCTTGTTATGGAGTAGATATTTGCTTAATAAATGCGAGATGTTAATGGAGGTGATCATGACCGTACTTTTTGCTACTTGAGACCGAATTTAATGGGATTGGGTTGCCATCAGGTTCGTTTCATCACCTTAGCGGATAAGCCACCTTGTAACCTTTTACACGTTTCTCTTGTATATCAGTTTCATTGTCGTCTAAAGTCGATTTGAAGCTATTTTAATCGTATTATAGTCACATAAGAGGAAGGGGATGCATATCCGTCCGGTAAGGCAGGTGCTTTCACTGTTGTTACGTGTTCGTAAACAGTAACTCGTTGTATTGTGGTTGTGGGGACAGTTTATTCGTCACCACAACCACTTACTCCTTTGAGTAGTCCCATCCGCGTATTGCGATGCTGTTTAACTGTTCTTTTTAATCTCAAATCGGAGGCTGACAACCTCGGTAAGTTACAGCTCGGCTGTTTTATTGTGCTGTTGCATGGAAACCGGCAGTGAGGAAGGTGGGATTGAATTTGTTGGT